AGATGCAATTATCTCGACTTAAGTCATGGTCAAGTAATGCATCTTGGCCTATCTATTCTTAGTGTTATTTTCTCCTCTCTATTTAGTCAGTTTCATGTCTTATGCCAGTTATTGGTAAACTCATTCATTTCCCTATAAAAAATACAGTACAAATTCACTGGCAGTGGGGGGCAGTTGTCCCAAAGGGGAGGGGAAAAGTTGTCCAGGGGGCAGTTGTTCTAGAAACGTATTTGGGATGTGAATAAGTTACACAGAAATGAAAGGAATAGAGTGGTTCCAGTTTACTCAGGATGTAAAGATATATTGAGACTGGTAACTGAAAAGCTGGTAATAAAGTGCATAATTGTGAGATGAATGGTATGAGGAAGAGGAAAGACCTATTAGGAGGTGAAAAGGGTGAAAGAAGTACTAAAAGAAGGGGATGATCATCCAAGAAGCAGCTTTGTGTATGAATGAGCATAGAGCACAGTACTGAGTGATTTTTGAGGAGACATTTTACTGATGAGTAATGCTTGCTTATGTGAACAATAGGTGTGAACCATGTGAATTTGTGACCTCATGGAAAGGGAATACTGTAATATAGCAGAACATATCTATTTCAATAGTAACAATTAATGACACTAAATGAAGGGCGAATGTATGTTTTTGCTCTTAATTAATGCCATCCTAAACCACTGTAGCAAAAGGTTTATAAGTGTGAAAAATATATACCATACATATATACTGTTTATATGAGGCATTGGAGATATTAGTGATGACCTCGATTTTCTGTAGAAGAGAATGAACAATACCCCAAGATGCAAAGTTGTCATTAGTATTGGGAAAATTAAATGCATTTGAAGGGAAGTAATTTGGGTGAGTGGTGAAGAAGGGAGGAAGGTTTGGCTGTGACATAGGGCCCATAAGTGGCACTGATTAACCCAGTCATCAACACAGGTCATCAATGATATCTGTCCAACCAACATTAAAACCACCAGTTCTCACTCAATATACATCTCTTCAAATACATCTAATGTATGCATGAAAACTTAAGTACTTTATATATGTATGTAAGTTTCTACTTATGTATGTACATACACATATACATGAAAAAGTGCTTTTTAATATCCAATTTCACATTTTAACACTCAGTGGGTTAGCAACACTGAGAAAAATATGTAAGGAAATCTGGGGCCTTGATATAGGTTGTGGCCATCTTATAACTTTACCATAACAAATTTATCAACCATCTGCTAATTCTGCCCAGGAATGAGCTTAATTATTATCTTGAATTAAAAACCCAAAACATTATTTCTGTACAATAGGTTACAATATCCAAGTGTGACCAAACACTGTTCATTCAACGGGTGAGCAGGGGTGGGCATAGCTCTTTCGGTGAACCAGCCACAATTATCATTCATAAAGTTATCTGATCTGATACAGCTAAAATTAAATTTGGTATGGGGAATAACCCAGATTAAATATCTAATTAGTACCAAGATATTAATGAACTCCTAGACACAACTTGGAAAAAGGATTTACATTTGAGCCAAAGCCAGATGTAATTACTGAAACAGAAGCAGCTACTGCACTAACATACACATGGATAAGTACTTGTACTCTAAAGTCTAAAATATAATAGATGAACTCTTCTTCTTGTGAAGATTCTGAAAATCCATATTGAAATATACAGTGAACCCTCACTTTACGCGGTCAATTGAACCCACGGCGGCCCGCGTAAAGTGAGAAACGCGTAAAGTGAACAACATAACATATGGGATTAATTGAAATAGAGACCGGGCCGACCCCCAAACTCCACTTTTTCAGACACAATACCTACATTGTAGCAAAAATAACTTCTTAATTTTATGATGGTATGCACACACAATTAATAATTAAGAGAAATATCACTAATATTAGGTTTTTTAACACTTACATTAGTAGAAAAGATGGCTGAGCACACGGGGATGGGGGGTTGGTTCCGAGGCAGAGGGCAGATTATTGGCCCTCACCTGTATCACTTGTATCAATTGTATCACTATCCACCACAGAGGCTTGCAGGGCCTCTTTGTCAAACCCATCAAAGTCCATATAAGTCCATATCCTCACTATCATTATCACTATCAATGACTTGGGCCGGCTGTGGTGGGTGGCGGGTGAAGAACTTGGTAATGTTTTGATGACTGGGCGACCTTGTGCGCACACTGCTCGCGCCGTTCTCCGCGTAAAAGGGTACACACACCACGGAAAGTGAGCATTCCGTGTTCGGCAGGGTACCGGGTAAACGTGGAAACGCGTAAAGTGGGACCGCGTAAAGCGAGGGTTGACTGCTTATTAATCCACTGATTTTCTACATTGTAATAAAAAAAAAATTCTAATTACATTTTTATAAAAACTGTCTCATTCATTATACATGATAGTCACACGCATGGAATTAAACAGTACACAACAAGGAACATCACCAGTACAGGATCAAATACAGTACATGAGACAACAAAATTGATCATGAATCTGTGTATGAAAATGAATCTGATATGATAATAAAAAAGTGAAAAAAATATTTTGGCAGCCATTTCTATCTTTGTGCTTGTAACAGTACTTTGTACATAAAACAAATCACTAGCATATTGAATGTACAGGGTGATTACAAAGTGCCTTGGTATTTAAGATTATAAAGTCCCTTGATAAATGTGTTTACAAAGTTCTCGAGGATGTTACTCAACCATAACACTGGTATGTAATTCATCACATTCTGCACATACTCGGGACTGTTTTCTTTGCCATATTCACTATGATATAGACGTGCTATTAAAATTGCAGAGAACACAATACATCAGCTAAGATGCATTCTTTACAATTCCACCTCCAATTCTAAAGAATATGTTATAGCAGACATGGCTACGAATAAAGTCACAAGAATAAACTGCTGAAGTACAGGACATATTGATTTTGTTAATGTGTGGTTTCCTCTATTGACATTTTAAACAAAAACCAAAAGACTGTAAGCACCCAGTACACAGGAAATAAAAATCAAATACACCCACCTCTCATTTTACGCGGGGGTTACGTTCTTGAAAACCACCGCTTAATTAAAAAACGCGTAAAATAAACATAATTTTCCCATAAATAATACATGTAAATTGTACAGGTTTGGGGCACCATCATATACCACACAGGGTAGGAACAGTGCTCTTACTTAAACCAAGCACGCGGCCAACCTCCGACACACGCTCTCCTCTCTGAAGGAGGGTGATCATATTTAATTTCACGTCCACTGTGATTATTTTTCGAGCCTTTTTAGCTTTAGGCGCCCCAGAGGAGGTAGTTGGACGTTTTCCAGACATGCTCGATGGAGAAAACAGCGTTTAACACTAAAAAGGTATGTGATAAACACACAATGCAAATGAGAGCACAGAGAAAAAGTAGTGCTGGTGTGAACTGAGAAAGCGATACGCGGGAAGCTTGCTGGACATCGTCACAGTTGTTGTACAGATTACTTCATTGTCATCATTATCTTCATCATTAGTAATAATAATATTTATTATTATAATAATTATTACTATTAATAATAATATTAAAATTGTTGATGTTGATATGACTGCGACTGTATAGTAATAACTTACAAGCACCTCACCAGGCATCACACGCGACTCCACTGCCAGGCGAATACACGAGGCAAATTTAAACTGTCTTGAGCACGTTATTTAAAAAATAGGTGAGCGTAAATTATCTTTTGGTATTAATTGAATAATCGCGTTATTCCAAAAACGCTTAAATCAAATGTGAGTTACCTGTACTGTATATGATTATGCCACCTCAAATCATCACAGGTGGCATCTTTTACAGAGAGCCACTTGCTGTACATTTGTATGACCAGCTCTACATTTACCATAGCCCATAAAGTGAATTTAGAAAGGTTATTAAAAACAAATCTGGATACCTATATTTGTCCAAAACTAATGTATATGTGAGCTTGTCAAACTGGTCAAAAGTGATGTGAAAATCTTTTTTTAATTAACTAACAAGTATAATTTCGTCAAATTTCCTAAATATCAACCATGATTATCAGTACTGTGCAGTTTTATTATCATGTGTTTTAATACATATCTATCAAAATGTTTAACTGTTCTGTATTATAAGTCATATACACCGTATTCTAATGTATTTTCATCGAATCTATCTATCAACAGAATTCTTGGTATTATTACTCTAAGCTCAGTAGATTATAGTAGTCAGGTATGGATGACTGCAGTTACTAGGATTTTCTTCATAATCACTGCAATAAATTGCCTACATTACTGTATTTTCAGGAGTCAAGCAACTAAACAAACGATTTTTTTAGCAAGTACAATATGAAAATCTTGTGGCAACTGTGGCTGTGTAGTTGAGTTGTCAATTCATTAATATAATTTTCTTCATTACTGAAGCAAATATACAAAGATTTGGAAACTTCTCATGATCTTAAATAATGATGAATAGCTTATTATTATAAAGATGCTACCTTTGGTTTATTTAATATTTATCCCGACAGTGATACAGCCGAACATAGATCCACTAATCACAATTGCCATTACATACAGCCTTACTTTACCAAGTACAGGGGGCTCCCCAAATTCACAGGGGTTAGGTTCTCAAAATGGCCGTGAATCACCAAATCCGCAACTAACATTTGCAGACGAATGGGGGGGGGATTTTTACTTGTGAACAAAAAATTTTATATTCCCTTTATGTGTTTGCCCTTAGGACAATTATTTATTTTCCCTGCAGTATTCTAAATGTGTGTGTATGTGTAGACACGCACACACACATACAAATAAATAATGATGAGAAAATACTCTCACAAATAATCAGAAACGAATTTATTAAAAATGTAACAATCTTCCCTCAAATCTGTGCTCTATTACAGTACTTTATTAATAGAGCATGGACTTGAGGGTAGACTCACATATTTAATAAATTTGCTTCTGATTATTTGTGAGAGGATTTTCCAATTATTGTGTGTTTTTCACACACACATATCTACAATTCAGGTAAAGGAAATTACTGTCTCTAGAACGAATGGCTCCCTGTCCCAGCCATGAAAATGCCGGCAACTTTAAAACTACCCTCAGACATTTATGGGTACATCCAGGGTGTCATCCCCGAATTACCGAGAACCGCGAAGTAAAAATCCGTGACTAAAAAGTCAAATTAGAGGACTCAGAAATATAGACTTTGAAGAAGGCCACACAAAAAATTAAGGAAGTAGAAAGTAGAGAACAAATATGAAGAAGTATTGATATAGAAGACATATCCATGGTACCTCAAAACACAAGAGGATAAATATGTTTAGCATTTAAGTCCTTATCTAATTTTTCTAACTGAATGCATTTTATTGCAAAATGCTTTGATTGTTTTTTTTCTTTTTCTAAGTAGAATTTCATGTTTTGAGAACATTTCAATCCAGGTGATATGCTATCATATATTGATTATCACAGCCCTATATAATCTGCAAGAAATTTACAAAATAAATTCTTAACAAATGTGTCAAAATGCTGAAAATATTCATAACCATGAAAGGATAAGTTACTGATGATCAATATATAAATCAATTAACTTAAAATTCAACTTTGGTCCTTCAGTCAGTTATCTTGATTTAAATTATAAACTTCAAAAAATTTCTAATGCCAACACTAGTTTTAATTAGCCAGTATTAACATCATAAATTCTTGGTTGGTTGACTAACAAATGTTCACAAATTCTAAGAAATCTTCAGCCTTTTGTAAAATTCACAGTGTTTAATCTGAAGCTAAATTATAACTTAAATACCCAAGTTTCTTCCTTGAAATTACTTTCCAATGATGTAACAACTGAAAACCTATTTGTAAATAGGCTTAACATAATGTAAAAAGAAGCCAACACTTTTAGCATTTTACAATGCATGTTACAACCATGCAAGAATCCCCTCAACCTTGCACACAAACAACATAAACATCTCATATACAGAAATATTTGTGCAAGCAATTTCCAGAAACTCTCTAAATGCTGCTATACATTACAAGTTGAGCATTTAAGTAAAAAATGCATTCTTACATAAGTAGTCACTTCATTGTTCAAACTTTTTGGTGATTTATCTGCTTTCCTTTCAAGACTAACTACTTATACTGTAAATTAATTTGTATATACTGTATTCTTTTATCAATACTGGTACATGTATTGAATCATAAATAAAACATATCACAATTATTATGCTAGCAAACCTTATTAGTCTTTTCTCATTAAAGTGAGATTTTCCTTTAAATACAGTACTGTAATGGAAAAAATCTAACCCTTTTCATGCATTAACCTTTACCCTAGATATCAACTGTGGCAAAAATTTATTTTTATAAGTTCTCTGCTTTATGTTTTTAATGTATACAAGAATTTTCACCTGATGAGCCCCTCAAGGCAGTTATTTAACCACAAAGACAGAAATAACAAATTAATATAGAAAAAGAGAACACTACTGTACATTAGTATTGCTAGAGACATTATTACATAAAGAATCCACAAGAAGACCTAAGGATGATATACTGTAGTACAATATGCAAATGCTTGCAAAATACCATTAAATTGTATCATAACATAATGTCTGAAATGTTTAATACAGTAGGTAGAATATTATCACACTACAATAGCATTCCATAAATCTGAGTAGCGCATCTCATAATGTGGTAATGATTTGGTTGCCATAGTTGTGGTAATCTGACCCAGAAAAACAATGGCTTTTTCTTAACCTGATAACCAGATGTCAAGTCTCATTGATTATGAACTGGTATATTTTGAATTGATCATTTATTTTCAACACTGTTTTGAGCTTTCTAATTTACAAGGTGTAATATGCATGAAAACTAACATGCTGTATATTGTTATGATCATTTAGTTTTCAAACTTGAAAAAACATTAAGTTCATAATACAGCATTTTTACAGAAAGGTTTAGAAACTCATAAATAGCCAAGTTTCATTATTCAGTTAAGTTCATTATCTACTGAAGTCATTCATCGGTTACTGTATGAAGAATTAATGGGATGTTACTGTATCTACCTAAAAGCATCCAAAGGAAGCATTTGCACGGCAGCCACTGAGAGGATAATGTAAAGTGATATCTTCGTCAGCCAAAACAAGGAACAATTGGTGCAGAGCACTTCCGGGAATGAGAGATTTCCGGGTAATAGGACAACTCTCTCAAACCTGGAAAAATACCCCATCCCTGGAATTTTTCCAGGTACCGGGAAAAGTTTCAAAGAATTTTCCGGAAATTGTGCATTATTTCATCTCTCAAATCTGGAGAAAAAAAATCACCCCTCCCCGGAATTTTTCCGGGTACCAGAAAAATTTTCTCAGAATTTTCCAGAAAATGCGCCCCTTGGAAAATCGTTCCCAAACCCGGAATTTTACGAAAAATAAGTAGCAAATTTCAATTCCGGCTATCGGAGAGTTCCAGCTAAGAGAAATTCTGACTAACGGATATATTACCGTATCATAATTTTGAAACTGTGTCTTTCTCACACAATAATTAAATAAACCACAAACAAAAGAAGTTATTATTGTTACTATAATACCTGAATCATTATCACTGTTGGTTACAGTCACACAAGTTCAACTTTTTTGATATGTAAAAACATTATTAAAAATCCTTACCAAAAGTTGTGCCATACTCTATTTGGATGAACCCTGACCCTCATGACTGTAAAGGTAGGGTAGCCCTAATATAGAGTATAAAACTTGACAATCATATCATGTAACACATTTACTCTAAATTCATTGTTCCTTATCTACAGTTACAATCACATGTGAGAATATTTTATTAAAAAAAAATATATATATCACAACACTCTTACAGTGATCCCCAACTAATATGCAGGTAATTTCCTGGAAAAGCCACTATCTAAATAATAAATGGGAAAAAAAGGTCACATTCCTTGATATTGCCAAACAAGGAAAATAACCTAACATACAAATTTTCATAGGATACTGCATGTACACATACCTGGACCAAAATAATTAATATAATGCAATTAAAAAAAATAATCATGAAATAATGAATTACCGTTTACGTGTTAAGATCCCGAGGCCATAATCTTGGGTGAGTGCTATATCACTATTGTTGTTAAGGAGGCAGTCTCACTCAAGGTCATGAGAAGGGAATGGAAACTAGGGGAAAAGATGAGTGTGATACAGCACTGATGGAGGGCTCTTTCTTCCCCCCCAAGAGCAGACATAGTTATACTGTACTGTATCACTTTCAGATGAAAGTCAATATGATACAGTTACTACCTGTATCAAACCTTGGTAATATGGTACAAAACAAATTGCACCAACATATCTATGGGTAGTCCATTCGCAGCCTACAGTCAATCCCAAGAGTCAACAACAGTATTACCAGAAGCAGCATGCTTAAATTTGCCTGGCAATTGTGAACCATGTAACACACACACATATATTGGTTGAACTTTTTACTCCATATCACCAAAATTGTATTTTAATGAATACAGGAATACATTAGCTGGGGATTACTGTATACCAAACCGAAATATGCATTAAAAAAAATTGTGTTAATATTCTTTTTTCTGAAAAATGTAGTTGAATCAATGTAATTGAATCATATATGTCACATTTATTGATAAAAGCAAAGTAATTAATGCAAATTAATCCATCATATGGCAGTAAACATACTGCAAGAAAAAATAACTATGTGCCACGACTTTGTCAGCTGGAAAATTTTTCTGCATATGAATCATGCATAGAAGAGGTTAATATAAACCATATAAACCCAGCTGAACCAATACTAATACTTGTATATGTTCACCTGCTTTCCCATCTCCTCACTTAAGCCATTACAGGTATATTCAGAGCCACAACATGGGCAGCTGCATAACCTAGCAGTGTGCAGTTTAACTACAAAATAGTATTTTACACAAGTATAAAAAGATTGTAACAAACTCCCACCTCCAGCCCAAACAACAGTACAGTACTACTGGTCTCCATCACATTGTTCCAGGGGTCAACTTGATTGTTCCATGTTAGTGGTATCACAAGTATTCTCTCCAGAAATCTCCACTAGTTCAGTGGCTTTGCTTAGCAGCACTTGTACATCCACAGGTGGGTAATTCTGGAAGGATAAATTGGTTGCAATTAGCATATTAAAGACATACGTTTCAGCCTTAGACAAAAAGTTCTCTAATATCTTTTCCATTTGACACTAGGTTGAGTCTGTAATTAATTTTTATTTTACCAAAAGAATAAACCTTTGACCTGCTTTATTGGGTTTCCTTAAATTTCTTTTTAGTACATCTATCCATGATACTCACTGATATGGGAAAACACGGTACCACTTCAATTGTGACCCAATACTTCGTTATCATGGAGTGATATGGGTTATTACGGGTCAGCGATGGTATTTTAACGTGCAATAAATGTCATGTGTGTTTCCTTTTACATTTTCCTTCATAAGTGGGGTATGCTATAACGAATTTAATTTGGTTCTAGAACCTCGTTCGTTATAGCATTCGTTCATTATAGGGGTAATCCATTCAAGGCCCCCAATTACAACCCCTTAACAATGAAAAATTTAATATAAAATTTAAATTTTTTTTAAAAAAGTGCATAAATTTGCATTTAAACTCCTGAAATAAAGAATATCATTAATACTTGCAATAAAAACTAATAAATTAGTACAAAAAATAATAAAAAATACTTTCTTTGTAGGAGTTTCGTTCGTTTTAGCATTTTCAATTTTATAGGGAAAACCGTTCGATATAGGAATATTCGTTATATAAACTGTTTGTTATAGCATACCCCAGTAGAACCGTTCATAAAAAAAAATTATTTTAAACATATTACCTTATCTATTAGTAAAATACCCCTGTACCTGTATATACTGTATTGTCTTTAATGGGGATACTGTAAGTAGCCAAATCAGATTTGATACAGGCCAAACAAGAGCTGGCAAGCGCAAAAGTGAGAGTTTTGTGGTGCTGAGCAGAAAAAGAGACACCCATTTTAGATTTTCTATGTATTATTTAAGCATTTTTGACTTACAACTAATTCGACTTACGACCTGGATTTGGGTCCCTAACCCCGTCGTAAGTCGAGGAGCAGCTGTACTGAATTGGCAGACTAGCCCATCAGCTGATCGCCTGATGCTCACAATGAAACGTGTTGTTCGTAAGGATTTCGTTAATCGAAGTTTTGTTCGTTAACCGAATTGAAGATCCTTATGGGAGGTACAGTCAACCCTCACTTTACGCGGTCCCACATTCCGCGTTTCCACGTTTACACGGTGCTCTGCCAGAACCCAGGATGCTCACATTCCGCGGTGGGTGTACCCCTTTACCCAGGTGAAGTATAATTTTTTTATTTAGCTCGTAAAATTCATACAAATTATCCGGCCAGAATATAATTTACATTGCTGGAATTCTTACAATTTGATGATCATTTTGAATATAAACATCATAGATTTTGCATTAGACATACAAATTTTAGATATAATGTTTACTCCGAGTAAATATGTTATCTTTTGTGCAAAATATATGACATTTATATTCAAAATATTTCTGGTTTTACAAGGAATCCAGCAATGTCAATTATATTATCCTAACTTTAATCTGAGGTATTATTTAATACTAAATGTTAAAATCTAGTTTTTTCACCCAACCTTTCTCTTGAAGGGAGGGTTGGTAGGCGGTGGGGGGGAGGGTTTTCGGACGGACTGACCATCTGGCCCGGTTGGAAGAGGGGGGGGAGGCAAGGTGGGGTACTTTGATTGACAGATAGTGTCGTGAAGAATAGTATTTTTTTTTTTATTAACTGAAGATATTTGTTTTAGCTCATAAAATTCATACAAATTACCCGGCCAGAATATAATTTACATTGCTGGAATTCTTACAATTTGATGATCATTTTGAATATAAACATCATAGATTTTGCATTAGACATACAAATTTTAGATATGTTATTTTTTGTGCAAAATATATGACATTTATATTCAAAATATTCCTGGTCTTACAAAGAATCCAGCAATGTCAATTAAATTATCCTAACTTTAGTTTGAGGTATTATTTATTACTATACCTGGTTTTCCCCCCAAAATTTCTCAGAGAGGGAAGAGCCAGGGAGTGTAGTGTGAGAAGAGGGGGAGGGAGTTGAGTCCATTATTTGAATGGACATTAACTTGGCGACTGTATTTCTCTATTTCTCTTAAGAATTAATTGTGTGCATGTACCATCATAAAATTAAGATGTTATTTTTACTAGAACATAGGTATTGTGTTGGAAAAAGTGGAGTTTGGGGGTCAGCTGGTCTCTATTTCATTTAATCCCATATGTTATGTTATTCACTTTACGCGTTTCTCACTTTCCGCGTTACCCTGTGGGTTACATTAACCGCGTAAAGTGAGGGTCGACTGTAATTCGTTAACCGAAATTTCGTTAATCGAACCAATGGTTAACCGAGGGACCACTGTATATGCAGTACAGGGAACTAGCGTTTTGTGTGCCCATCAGCCGCTTGACTCAGCCACCAAGCGTCAGTTTGGCTTTGTTGATAGTGGAGTGAACATTGATTTTGTTGGTGTCTTGAATATTTTTGCATTTTTACATTAAAATTATTGGTCATTCTGAAATTTAGTTAACATTGATAATATAGCGCAGTGCAGCGTTGATTTAAATAAAATAATCTTGAATTACACCTAGTGAACTTAAAATTTTATTGCTGAAATTACTGCATCAAGCATGGGTCCCCTGAAAGGTGATTTCTCCTCCATCCCCACTTCCTTCTCTTCTCCCTTCTCCTCCACCCCCACTTCTAATTCCCATCATCATCATCAACCAGGAATCTTCTACATACACACCTCAAAGTAAGTGTACTTTGCTGCATTTTTTTTTTTTACTTTGTATGTACTTTTCTGTGAGCTGGAACCAATTACCCAATATCCCATTGAAACAATGGATTCGGTTAACGAACGAATCTGTGGAACGAATTGTGTTCGTTAACCGAGGGACCACTGTATCAAGAAAGTTGGTCTCTTGAATATTTTTGCATTTTTTACATTAAAATTATTGGTCATTCTGAAATTTAGTTCACATATTGATAATATACAGTGCAGAAATTATTATGAAACATGAAGAAGGCACTAGAACCAATGCACTCCGTAAAGAATACGGCATGTCATCATCGACTGCCTCTACAATCAGCTGTTTGATATGTAAACAAAACTGCCGGTAATAGGACATACACACCTCAAAGTAAGTTAAAATACAGTATTCTGTTGATTTGTATTTATTATTGTACAGTATACTGTACATTACAGTACTATATTTAGTTTATATTTAATGTTTTGTTAATTCTATTACTGGTATACAGTACTTTGTATGTACTTTTTCTGTGAGTTGGAACCAAATTTTTGGTTAACGAATTGTGTTCGTTAACCGAGGGACCACTGTATAGCGATTTAAGGGGTAGTTAGGAGTGTTTCTGACTTTACACAAGGTCCCAGGAACGTAACCCTCGCGTAAGTTGCAAGTCTACTGTATATTGGAAAATGTTGATAATTTTGGTAGTAACTGTAGTGATAAATTATAAATATTTCCAGCCAGATTTCCCTCGTAAAATAAAAATAAATATCGCTATACAGTATATAAGAAAATGTCGATAATTTTGGTAGCCCGCGATATAAAAAATCATTATACAAAGTCGTTATATATCCCGACCCTACTGTACTGTACTGTACGTTTACCCAAAATTATGAGTTGAAAAATAACCACTCTAAGTGCTACCTCTGGCATCCTTCTCTTTCTCACACTGGTTCAGTGAACATCTCCCAGGTATTCCTTGGTAAAGTTGGTGCTGTAAGTGTATACTGTACTGTAATGCAGTGAGCCCCCTATCACCAATGACACCTATGAAATGGCACCAAAAGCTTGAATTATCCCCATCCTTTGCCTGCAGTGCTGGTAAGCATTAATTTTTGTGCGAGTTTTTTGATTATGGTAAGTTATTTTGGCCAAAAAATTGGGTACAGTATTGGGATGGGACGAAAGACTACGAGGAAAGTGCCCAGATAAGTTGGAAAAGGTTAGAGGCCCATGTATTCACAGTTATCAAGGGTTTATAATGTGCAAAAGCCTTGTGGAATGATTTAATTGAACCCTGAAAAAATCTTAGAGCGTATGTGTTTGGGGCAGACGAAGGAATGGTATCAATACCTGACAGCCTTATGCTTCGTATACAAGGAAGTTCCATTTGAACTAGTTTATGGACATACAGTAAGAGGACCTCTAACATTCTTGTACTAGTAAAGGGAAGGTAACGAGATTGAGGCAGATATGCAAACAGTTTACGAATGTGTAGTAAAACTACGGGAAAGATTAGAGGATACATGCAAAGGCTTAATCAGAGCTCATGTCATCTCAGGTGTCTACAAAAAATTACTATGATGTAAAAACTAAAAAAAAAAAAAAGGAAAATTTAGGTTGGACACGAGGTTCTGTTTTTACTACCGAAGAGTGAAGACAAACTTTTGTTCAAGTGGAAAGACCATTGAAGGTAGTTGAGAGAGTCCTAATAAACTAAACTATGTGTTAGATGTGAATGGATTGACAGTCCTACAGGAGGAGTCTGCCACCTATAATGTCAGATTCCCAACCACCTGCAGGAAGAGAATTGGGAGGAAGTACTGATTTGAGAGCAACTGACGACAAGTGGGCGTGAAGAAGTTAAATCAATTCTATTAAGATTACTCTCGAGTGCTCATGGATATTCCTGGTAAGACAGATGTGCTTGAGTGTAATATTGAATTAACTTATCCAGATGTAATAAGGACAAAGCCCTACACTATACCATATAACCTTCAGAAATCAGTGGAAAAGGAATTAAAGGAGATGGTGGATTCGGGCATCATATTACCTCTGACTCACGGTTAGTTGTCCCAAAGAAAGATGGCAAGTACACACTATGTTTAGACTTTAGGAAACTTAACATGGTTATCACCTTCGATGCAGAGCCTGTGGAGGATCCCAAGTCATTATTATAGTTGCAAAATTACGACAGAGCAAGTACTTTACAAAGATTGACCTCTCCCAAGGGAACTGACAGGTGCCATTAGTGGACTGCAGCAAGACGTACTGCATGCTTCTTCTTTTTGGTCTTATGACAGCCACTGCTGTTTTGAACAGGCTTATGCAAAAGGGTCTGGGCAGACTACCGAATGGCAAAACTTTTTTATGCTACTCATGGTTGAGTTGAACATTTTAAGAAACATAGTAGTCTGCAATATATCAAGGTGCTTGGTAAAACTCATAATCTTTAGTATTTAATTAATATTTTTAACTAGAGATATCCTCCAGAAATGTTACCCCTATTTACATCATATATCTATGGTAAAGTAGATTCTGCTATGTGTTCTGTCTTATATGTCACATTCTTCAGGAATGGAGGTCTCATATAATTATAATGAAGATTTCCTGTGCTTCATTTCCTTGTGATGTATATTTCTACTTGAGTTTCAACTGGATAGTCTTTCTAAACACCCTGTTTATGCTCTATCCAAGCAATGGTTTTAATTTAATATATTTAAACTTGAACAACTCACCTGAAGGATTTTCATGTTGGAAGCAAAGTCATTCTGTATCATGGTGTCCCTCTGTAACCTGATGAACAAACAAGATTACAATTAACTCTAACTTATTTAACAAAAAGTTTCCAATAATACGTGCACATGTTTTAAACAACAATTGTAAAGGACATACTACTTCTATTGATCAACACATTTATGAACATTCATTTAAGCAGTCATATCCATCTAAAATATTTTGGTAAGCATGCCAAAATAATACATTAAGTGCAACTTTGAATACCCTGTACTGGTATATGCTTTTTTTATTTGACTGAACAACATTTCACATTTCATTTTATTTCAATGCTCAGGTACTTAACACATACACCATCATTGCCGTGCAGACTTGAATCAAATAACTAAAGCGGTTGGCATCAGCAAAAAGTGAGTCCCAAACACGAATAACGTCTGGCAGGTCAAACTCCTGAGACAGTAGAAGTGTCAGCCATCTGAAGAATAAATACAATATCATCAGGCAAAGGCATCTCTGAAAGTACCAGAGGTTTATAAAATGTTTCCAATTTTTTCAATGATATGCATAAAAAAAATTAAACATTAATCATGGCAGCCATAATTTATTTTGACCAAAATATTAAAAGACAACTTTAACTATTATCAATCACAAATCACACATCCAACACAAGCAGATTCTACAATGCAATTAATTATCAAGACAACACACTAAACAAGACATTCAACATAAAATAGAAAGCAGCATAAATGATATGAACTGGTCATAAATAATTTAAACAATCAGTTTTACTCTTCTTTAATTGTATCAATGAGATAAGTGTTGGAGGACGAAATTTCTTTCAGTGAGTCAGTCATGAATTGTATTCTGAGTTAACTGATGTAAAAATATGTGATCAATCACTGTAGTTTACAATGTCTTGAAGGTGAAACTTGACATTGTGAAGAGGAATGTGATTCCCAGAGGCTGTGTGGGAATCATAGTAGAGTCTCCACTCCACCTTCAAAACTCCCTTCGCCTTGAAGGGGACATGCAATGACAACCAGGCTTGTTCTTAATGATGTTGTGAGGGTTGTTTAATTGTGTTGTAGGTACAGGTTCATTATTAGTGTACGATTTTTTTTTTTGGGGGGGGGGGTGATATATTTGGGTGTCACTGGTTGAGAGCGTGTCTCATTGATCCTCATCTAATAACAATTCCGATTTAAGACATTTTGACCTGCGATGGGTTTCTCAGGAACATAACCTCATCATAAACAGGGAGATACCTTATCTATAAACATACATATGGGTACTAAATTTATCTTGATACAGTAAATAGAACTATTATTTTTCATAAATGTCTTCTCTTGTTTCATGCACAATGGTCTGAATCAAGAGCAAGCACATATGCATGCCCATTCTTCTTCCTACGGTACTGCTTGTACTCCCATTCCACAACAAGGCCCCAAATCTAACTTAGCCAAAGCTTCTTACACAAGCCAGTATTATCCATCCTAAGAGCAAAGCTGTACTGTACATTTACTCAAAATAATGTACTAAATGTACTAAAATTTTTGTCTTGTGCAAACTATAGCATGATTATATTCAAATTAATCACTATCTTTTAAGAATTCCAGCAATGTAAATTATATTCTAACCGGTCACTTCTGTGACAATTTATAAGCAAAAATCAAAAAGTCAATCTAAAGGACATAAACAAACAAATAAATTCTTCACTAGACCTTCGGCCCCAACTGTCAAACATGTTACTGTCACCTTCCCTTCCTCCCTCCCAGCCAGGGTTTGGTGGTTATACACTAGGCTTTAAGCTTTTTCTTATATAATATCACAGACTAGAGTTAGGAGAATATAATTTCCATTGCTAGAATCCTTGTAAGACAGCAAATAATTTTAATATAAACATCATATATTTTGCACAAGAAATAAAAGTTTTAGCCCTTTGTAATTAAATTAGTTTGAACTAAAATTTGTATGTCTAATGCGAATTATAGCATGTTTATATTCAAATTAATCACTATCTTATAAGAATTCCAGCAATGTTAATTATATTCTCCCAGGTCAGTTAAATGGCATTTTATAAGAGAAAAACTTAGTCAGTCTCAAGGACAGATAAATAAATAAATAAATAAGCACTAGACCTTGGCATTAACTGTCAAACATATCACCTCCCCCCCCCTCCCCCATTTAGCTATGTTGATTTATGAGTGCTTGTTTTAACATGATACTACAAAAAACAATGTTTTGTTTATTCCAGGATTTGGGCTGAGGTGCAGCTGGGTAGACTCTCCGTCTTTTTAGTATTTTGTGTTTCTCTTAAGTACCAAACTAAATTATTCCATTGAAACAACACTTCAATTTTGTGCGAATTCGGTTTAAAGCGACCTCTCTTGGAACCTATCTCGTGTTATATCGACGTTTTACTGTACTTATCACAATCTCCCTAAAAATACTTTAGGTTTTGTGTTTATTCAATACATCTTCAGGTCATGAGACCCACTAAACCTCCACCCAAGAAAGGGTGACCTGACATTCCATCAGGTCAGAAATATGAGACCACTAATCCCCCACCCTACCTCCACCTGACACTGAGTCAGGTCACGTCCCCCAAAATACTTCAGCTTTCGTCTTTATTCAAGACATTTTCAGAAAATTCTCTCAATTTTCAACCCCGGAAAATTTTTTCCCAAAGCTGGAAAATTGCGGATAATTCCGGCTTTGGAAATGATTTTCCGAGCAAATTTCAATTCCAGCTATTGGAGATTTCTGGGTTTTAGGGGTTCCAGTTAAAGGAGATATTACTGTATATGCGTTATGATAAATAACTCACACTTACAAAGCATTCCTTGAGATTAAACCATCCACAGTACAGTACAGTACAGTGGTCCCTCGGTTAACGAACGCCTCGGTTAACGAAATTTTGGTTAACAAATTACCTTCCATAAGAATCTTCAATTCGGTTAACGAAAAAATTTGATTAACGAAATCCTTACGAAAATCACGTTTTGTTTTGAACATCGGCTGATAAGCTGAGGAGGTACTCAGCCAAATCAGTAATCTCTACTATGTTTACATTTGTTTCCAATGGAGTAAATATAAATAAAGTTGTGGTCTTTAATATTTGTACATTTTTTTATAGTATTAAAATTATGGGTCATTCTAAAATTTAGCCATCCAAGCTGTCTACATAAAGTTTTTCAACTACGTACTATTTTTGGCTCGATATATATATACAGTATATATATATATATATATATATTTTTTTTTACGGGAATTAGCCCACCCAGGCACAGGTCACTTTATTCATTTATTAAAACTCATTTACATGCACACACTGTCCTAAGGACACACCCCTCTACCCAGCGAAGGTTTCTCGTTATACAATAGGCTTTAAGTTTGTATCTTATATAAAATCACAGACTAAAGTTGGGAGAATATAATTTGCATTGCTGGAATCCTTGCAAGACAGCGAATAATTTGAATATAAACGTCATATATTTTGCACAAAAGATAAAATTTTTGCTCTCTAATAAAATTCTTAAATTAGATCTAAAATTTGTATGTCTAATGCAAATTATAGCTTGTTTATATTCAAATTAATCATTATCTTATAAGAATTCCAGCAATGTAAATTATATTCTCACCAGTCATATCTATGGAATTTTACAATCAAAAAGAAAAACTCAAAAAAATTAAATACTTCACCAGACCACTAACTGTCAAAGTACACCTCACCTCCCCTACCCCTGCACCTGCCTCAGACAAAGGTTTGGGGGTTTTCACTAGGCTTACAGTTTTAATCATATATAATATCTCAGACTAATGTTAGGAGAGTATAATTTGCATTGCTGGATTCCTTGCAAGACAGCGAATAATTTGAATATAAACGTCATATCTTTTGCACAAGAGAAAAAATTAATCACTTGAATCACATTACAGTAGTGATTTAAGAGTTCTAGTGTATATATATATATATATATATATATATATATATATATATATATATATATATATATATATATATATATATATATATATATATATATATATATATATATATATTGTTGTACCCACTTAACGCGGTCAATAGAACCCAGAGGGTCCGGTGTTAAGTGAAATCCGCTTTAAGTGAACAACAGAACATATGGGATTAATTCCAATAGAAACCGGCCCGACCCCCAAACTCCACTTTTTGAAGGCACATACCTATGTTGTAGTAAAAATAACATCTTAATTTTATGATGGTACATGCACACAATTAATACTTAAGAGAAATAGAGAAATACAGTCGCCAAGTTAATGTCCATTCAAATAATGGACTCAACTCCCTCCCCCTCTCACACTACACTGCCGGCTCTTCCCTCTCTGAGAAATTTTTGGGGAAAACCACTAAATTTTAATAAATAATACCTCAAACTAAAGTTAGGATAATACAATTGACATTGCTGGATTCCTTGTAAGACCAGGAATATTTTGAATATAAATGTCATATATTTTGCACAAAAGATAACATAGTTACCTAGAGAAAAAATTTTATCTAAAATTTGTATGTTTAATGCAAAATATATGATGTTTATATTCAAAATGATCACCAAATTATAAGAATTCCAGCAATGTAAATTATATTCTGACCGGGTAATTTGTATGAATTTTATGAGCTAAAACAAATATCTTCAGTTAATAAAAAAAAAATAATCTTCACAACACTATCTGTCAATCAAAGTACCCCACCTTGCCTCCCCCCCTCTTCCAACCGCGAGGTCAGTCCCAACCCTCCCCCCCACCCCCCACCAATCCTCCCTTCAAGAGTTTTTAACATTTAGTATTAAATAATACCTCAGATTAAAGTTAGGATAATATAATTGACATTGCTGGATTCCTTGTAAGACCAGGAATATTTTGAATATAAATGTCATATATTTTGCACAAAAGATAACATAGTTACTCTGAGAAAAATTTTTATCTAAAATTTGTATGTCTAATGCAAAATATATGATGTTTATATTCAAAATGATCATCAAATTATAAGAATTCCAGCAATGTAAATTATATTCAGACCGGGTAATTTGTATGAATTTTATGAGCTAAAACAAATATCTTCAGTTAATAAAAAAAAATATATTCTTCACTGGGTAACAGATGGTCGGTCGGTCCCTCCCTCCCCCCCACCCCCCACCAACCGTCCCAAGGAGATGTGCGGGAAAACCAGAATACTTAACTTTTTGTAATAAATAATACCTCAAACTAAAGTTAGGATAATATAATTGACATTGCTGGATTCCTTGTAAGACCAGGAATATTTTGAATATAAATGTCATATATTTTGCACAAAAGATAACATAGTTACTCTGAGAAAAATTTTTATCTAAAATTTGTATATCTAATGCAAAATATATGATGTTTATATTCAAAATGATCACCAAATTATAAGAATTCCAGCAATGTAAATTATATTCTGGCCGGGTAATTTGTATGAAT